ATTCTGTCGTTGATTTTACACAAGAGATGAAAATAGGTTATTGTGATGACATTAAAATCTCTTAGTGCCTTTCTGGCATTGAAGTCTGAATTGTGGATCTGTAGCTTGAATCTTGATCGATCGAAGTGCATAATTATAGTTTTGCTAGGAGATGCTGATCTGACTGGGGATAAATTGTTCATTTTATAACTGCTGATCGAAGTTTGACAAACCATTTCTTAAGCACCTGGGAAGATGAGAAGTGAGAACTTAAGGAAACATGGACATCATGATTGGTGAGTAAAGCAGTGTTCAAAATGAATGCTTTGATGGGAACACTTGTTGATCTGAAAAGCTAGTTTAATTTGAGACACTTCAGGTTGAGATACCCGAGGGAGAAATTTGATACACGTGTTTCACAGAGGATTGTAAAGGGTCGGGAGAAGGACATGTTGAACTCTGTCAGTGTTGTGCATACCTGAACACCATCAGCATGGCTCATCCTAGCAGGTAGGCAAGAGCACATACAGGTCTTAGGGAAGCAGCTCTTGGTATGAAGAATGGAGCTCTCAGGCTGCATCAGTTTTGGTAGCTAGCTCTGGGAGGATTTTAAATTTCTTTGTGAAACATAGCAATAGCCTTAAAAAAATGTCAGCACAGGGTCCAGTGTTATAGCTGGTAAGTGACCAGGAGGAAAAAAAAAGAAAGAAAGAAAAAGGCAATAAAAGATACCCAGTCTGTTTGTCACCAAGTAAAAGAGATACTTCTGATGTCCAGTTTCTCTTACTAAATCTGGGACTTTAAAGTCAAGCTATTTCCTCTCTTGTCTTCCTGGACTAGCCATTGTTACCAGCAATAGCCCCTCAGCCAAACTCTGTGACACCTTTTTCACCTTGGTTTTGGCCTTGTGCTGTAGTTTACCCCAAAGCTTTTTACATGCCCTACCTGACTGTGAGGCCCAAGCCATACTTGCAGAGGGGTAGCATGGGGTTCATGTGCTCTGCTGACATCTCTTTCCAAGAACTAGCCTGATGCAACTTGGTGAAGCAATCAGCTTCATTCTGACTGCCTGTGGGGGGTCTGTGGCAGGGACTGCAGTGCTATTGCTGCATGGCAGCAGAGCTCGTTCCCAAAAGGGCCTGAGGAAATGTAGCAGGGTCTGAAAGTCAGAAACTGTGATTTTCAGCGGTTGTGGCTCAGCGAAACAAATGTTCCTGGACTTATCTTCATTTTTCTCCAATGACTGCTATAAGTCAAAATTAGTCCAAAAAACCTGTGGGATGGTTAGAGAAGGAGAACTGATCTTGCTTCTTGGAGACAAATGACAACTTAGAGGTTCTGTTTTTGAAACTGTGTTTTCAAAAAGTGTTGATGAGAAAACAAGCTTTGCATGAGCAGTACATAAAGATCATTATCTATGGTTTTTTTGTCCCATTTTTAAAATCTGAAAACAAACTTGAAGGACTGAAAGTATAAACACTATTAAAGTGCTTCACAGAAAGGAATAAAATCACTATGGTTTTGGTTTTTGCTTTTTTTATATGTAATTTAAAAATAATGCTTGAAAATCGTTGACAGGTTCCAGTCCTAATGAATTGATGAATGCGTCTCCTTTATTAAAAAGGTGTAATTACTGCAAACATTTTTTGACTTTAAAATGTATGCATTTGTCAACAGTTCCATAATTACACTTGGTACTTGCTTTTTGAAAGTGACGTCCTATCGCATGCGTAAATGGTTGGTGACTCTTTAATGACAACTACAATAATGGTTTCCTACTGTTCCCTAAACAACCACGTCTCCATCTGCATCACAGAAGTTTGGCACACAACGGAACATAGATCTGAAGGCAGTTTTCAAAGTTAAGGCTCTGGGGTCTTAAGTCGCACCTGACTCTCTGTTTTTTTAATTTTATATGATATCTCTGATTTCATAAAGAGAATGACTGCAAAGAGACTTTGTCTTTCACTGAACCGTAAAGACAGCTTCAGGTTGTCACTGGAGTAATAGGGCCTTTTCCAGCAAATGGAATTGCATAACTTTATTCTGAAACCAGCAATCGGCTCAGCCTGCGAAGACATTGAGCAGAGCATGGTGCACTTGAAATGCCTGTGGGGGCACCTGCCAGTGACTGGAAAACAAATATAATTTTCTCCTTAATGCATTATACAGCATAAAAGAGCAAAAAAGTGTACTAAAAGCAATGGCCCATCCAGTCTAGAAGTACACTGCCTAATGCTTAAGATACAGACATGTGAAACTCGCAGTGTGCAACTACAAAATAAAGTGTCCACCAAAACAGCTTTTCTCTAAGTCGTGGTAGTTAAAATATGTTTTATGTGCTAGAGCTTGAGGTTTATAGTATTTTCCTACTTCTTCTGCTACTCCCTAGTATTTACTGCTGGAATTCTCATATAACCAAAAGGAAAACATACCAGGATGGATTTTCTTCTGGCAGACATAACTGTAGTTTCACTGAAGCTCGTTCATCCTTCCAGATTTATAGCAGTTGAACACCCCTAGCCTGATTTCTAGCTCTGTACAGCCTTTTTTTCCCAAAGTTGCAATCACAAAGGGGCCACCAAAATGTGAGTAGATAATCTCTGTTTGCATCTGCCCACATTATTAATGGCTGAAGCTTCACATCTTATACTTTTTTCAAATCAATAAGGAATCTGGCCTCCAGCCAAAATGACAGTCAGGCAGAAGTAAACCACTTAAGAGGAAAAAGTTTGTGATGAAGAATGAGTTTCTAGCCGTGCCAGTTCACAGACAACATAGTAGTTTTATGTCTCTACCCTTTGCACCATCCTTTGTCTTAAAAAAGACTCGGCAAACAATTCAGGGGAAGCAATTGGCATATTCCCTAATGAGACAAGATAAAGTGTCCTGTAATGATGATGACAGCAAATTCACTAAGTGAACTGCAGTTTGAGAACTTTGCAAATTGATCAAACCATGATTCCTTGATTGCTTACTTAATCGCCTGTTACGGTCTCTCTCCTGACCCTCCATATCCCAGTTGCTTTTATCAGCACTTTAGCAACTGAGGGACATTCTGTTCGCCCCTCAGGTTGTTCATAGTGGAAGAATAGGTTCTGCTTTGAGGGTTTTATTTTATTTGCGTTTCGTACGTACTCTTGGCCAGCTATCAGAGGGGGAATTTAGAGATTCCCTGGACACCTACAGTGCTTTCTACATCAGGCTAATGATTGTCAGGAAGAAGCTTTCTTAATTCTGTATTTTATAGGATGGATACTAATTAAAGCACTGTCTCACCAGGTGCTGACTACCTTTAGCAGCTTCTTAACTCCAGGAAGAGTAATGCTGTGCATATTTAGCGCTCAGTGATGTTCTGCCTGCTAAAGATGTCTGGTCAGGAGGGGAGTGTACAAGGGAGAGAGATATTTCGGTGGGTGGTACAAGTGATGGAGCGGTGATTCTTCTTAGCCAGTTTGTGATCGAAGCTCCTAGAACTGTGATTCTATTTTGCTGGGAGAGGCTGGGACTGCATCTCAGAAGTGGCAAGGAAACGTTCTCCCAGCACTTGGTTTGCAAACCTTCTTGAGTTCTTTCCAGATGAAAGGCACTGGGAACTTTGGGGTTGTGTTTACAACCTCGACACAGCAGATACTATACCATATCAAGTTTAACTGTACTGCTGTGCCGCCTGAAGAGAGAGGGACTTGGAGAAAAGATTTGCAGGGGCTAACGAATGGGTTATTCACATATTTTCCTGAGTATCTCCAAATCTGTCTTAAGTCCAGCATTTGCTGTATAATAATGTACAAATGTGCAAATAGTAGCTAAATGTGCTCTTCAGAAGTAAAAAAAAGATGGATTTGACCCCACAGCAGCCAAACATGATGTCCAAATATATTTGTGTGTTCTGCTACTGGTAGCACTCAAAAGTTAAACTTACGTAAAGTTTAGGGGTAATTCTGTTTGCTTGCATTTCCATTACTGTGTCTCGTAAATAACTCTTGCAGGAAGAAAAAGGGTAGTCTGGATCTATCTCTTAAGTCTACCTGTGGTTTTTTTATTGTATTTACTGACAATTAGTTGAACAATCATAAGCTGTTACAGAGAATAACCTTGTCAGTGTAATCAGGTAAATGTTTAAGTAGGTGAAAAAAGAAATTAATCCTCCTGCAGTGAGATTTAAAGTTACTGTTGTTCAAGATCCAGGATAACACATGTGACTTTTTGATACTTCATAACTGCCTCTCTAGGGAGGTTTTCTCCTTACCTCATGTGAAGTTATGATATCTTGCATGAGAATGTGCCTCAAATACAAGGAATTGCACTGAACTGTGTGAGTTTTTCCTCCTGTTATTCCTCTTGGTGACCTGCTGTGCTTGTTTTATTAATTACTTGGTATTTTCATGGGCACTAATCCTCCAAAAGAAGAATAATGATAAGCAGAGACAGAGTTGGTTGTATAGAAAAAGGGTCTGAAGCATAAAGTTTTCACCCAGGAGGGAGACCATATATGACCTTGAGCTTTTCTGCTAAAGAACAGTGGCTTGTTTTCACTTGTGCAGTAGGCACTGGTAGGGGCTTATAGTTACCAGGTCACAGTATCCTTCAAGGGAACTGAAGACTGGCAAAAATAACCATCTTCTGTATTGCCAAGGCTCAGGCTCATGTCTAGGTAGTAAATCGTGTACATATGTATGCCTTTGAAATGTCATTATGTGGTTGCCTATCCGTATTGCTCCGTAATTGGGGTGGTGGCACATTTGAAGTTCATATGCATTTACTTATTTCCATATTTTAATCCAAAATAAGGCCAATACCCATATCTTTAAAGCCAGAATGTATGAAGTTCAAGGAAGTAGTTAAATACATGCCTAATTCTGAGCATGACCTCAGGTCCAAATGCAGTAAACTTTCACGTATTAATCAGCTGTCAACCAACAGTTTGTTATGACAATGATTAAAGCAGTGCTCATGTATAAAATGTGTCAGTTGTTTTCTCCTTGTTTCTGTGATACAATCTCTCTCTCTCCCTTTTTAAGCTGTTTATGAACAATCTTGTGAGGCTTACCGGCACCAAGGGAAGACATCGGGTTTCTTCTACATCGATTCTGATGGAAGTGGACCACTTGGACCAATCCGTGTTTTTTGCAATATAACAGGTAATGACCTAACCTTGTCTTTGGTGCTCTATCTTGCCTCTAATCTTACTGGCATGTCTTTCACTGTACTATGAAGAAGATGCCGCAAGTGTGGGTATCTCAGGAGTGAGGAAAAGCAGAGAACTGGTAGTAACTGGGGTTTGACTCCAAGGTGTTTCTTTAAATAGGATCTGTGTAAAAGTGATTTCAAAGCTAAGTTTGAGGGACTCACCTTGTACTGTTGCTAAGTTGTATTTACAATAGTATTTGTACCTTTTAAAGGCCACTACTGATGTATTTTTCATAATATCATAACTTTTAGTTAAATGTTTGTACTTTTTACTGAAATTGTGGAAATTCGGAGTTCGAATCTTTTATTGTAACTGTCAGTGGTTTCTCTGCTTTACTAGAACACTGGGTCTGGGAATGATTATTAATCTCCTTGCACTGAGCTATCTCTAAACCCTTGCAGTCTCACTTAAGCAGAAATACTGCCTCTCATACGAGTGTTCTGCCTTTGACGTCCCAGAGAATAGAAACCCTGATTGTCCTGCGTATCTGTATGGAAGGAAAGACACAATGCTTTTAGGAGGAGGGGCACCAGAGAGACAGATAGCAGAGCAAGAGCCTGGCAAGGTGACCAGTTGGTTGAGACTTCTCAAACTTACAGTTCTTTAGTTTTATAATAAAAAGTGTTTCAATTAATACACCTGTCTGGCAAATTCTCCCCTGAAGTGGGTCCTATTTTGTATATAGGACTGTCATGCAAGGGTTTGAGGGAAAGATTGCATAGCCCATGTTGTGTATTGGGGTAGATGATAGAGAGTTCTTTTCTGGTTTTTATTTTTGAAATGGAGAGGAAACTTCTTAGACTGTCTACTCTTTGGCATTTTTTGCTTCCTGTGGCCAGGTGTGGATGAAAGCATATTTTATTACCCCTCCTAAATTGCTAATTCTGGCTGAGCCACTTTGCCACATATCACCTCCACACTCAGTCCTGAAAATTAAGGACTCAGGATATTAATATTTTATCCTTAATCTCCTTGTACTTAAAGTGTCTCAAATTAAATTTTCATTTTGATTTAATTGGGCAACCATTATGTTAATTAAATGCACACCAGTTAATTATTAAGTATGTTTTTTATTCAAGCATAACAAATATTTAATAAGATGTGTCTCTTTCAGTGTTGTTAAATCTTGTAAAAATTGAAGCAGTTTCACCTTTCTATCTGAATATCCTTCCTTGATCTCCAGTATGGGAATTGTGCTCATTTTTATTATTTACCGTATAAATATGTGTGATGAAAACATTGTCACTGCTTTTTATCTCTGCTGAAGAAGTAGGATTTCTGACAAACTCCTTGCAGAAAGAATCTGCTTTCCACAAACAAATTTTATCTGGCAGAAATCCAGAAGGCATATACCTTATTTTCACTCTATCTGTAATGAACTTGCTGACATTCTTATTTTATTTTGGTTACAAGAAAAGTGGACGTGGGAAAAAATGACAGAACCTCCTAGTCTGGAGAACTTTTTTTTTCCATAAAAAAGTCTCCATCTTCTGAGATTTTGGTGTTGTTTGGTTTGTATGTCCCCCCACACACCCAGGGCAGAGGAAGGTCATTTGTCACAGGCATCTCTGTTATTCCTATTGCATAAAAGAGCGCTGAGGCACAGAAAGAAATTACCATTTTACAGTTGTCCAGAGAGTTTAAGGTACAGTTGGGTTATGCTGCTGTATCATCTAAATCTGGTTAGGGTGCCTTAATCACAAGAGCTTGTTTTCTCTCTGGGAACAGACCTTACTGTTATGCTGATACAAATTGTTCACAGTAATACATTAAGTGCAAAGTATGGAAAAAGTAACTCAACTTTATGTACACAGGGATGGAATCTGAATTTGTTATTCTTTTTGAGTTAATGCTTATGTATAGTTTTCTGAATGTATCAATATTCAGGGAAAGTAAAAAAATGAAATTCTATGTTGTTATATTAGGAACACACAAGGAACAGAGACAAAAAAGTCAACGCTATTGTTTAGTGACAAATCAATACCACCTCTCCTGTGAATGGAAAAATGTGGATGGTCCGAAGCAAGGATGGCTTCCATATATGGGAAGACTAAACAAATTAAAAAGATGGTGGAGAGAAATCTTGTAGGATATTATAGAAGTTGTATGGAGAAAGCATATGAAAACATGGAGAAAGCAAATAGGGATTGGTTCTTTTTCATCAAATAGAAGCTAAGGGACAGTACAGGTACTAGATAGTGAGATTTTGGTGTTGTTTGGTTTG